AAAAAAAAAAAAAAAAAAAAAAAAAAAAAAAAAAAAAAAAAAAAGAGTATATTAGATGGGATATGCTATAATATGGAAAAATCAGAAACATTATCCCTAGAGATAAAAAGCTATCTATGTATATTTCAAGATCATTTAATAATTTTATTAAATCATATTTAAAAGTATAACTTTATTCCATATACTGACTTTTACTACAGCAAACATTTTATTTTAAACTTCTGCAAGTAGCGTAAATATAAAAGACTCTATAGTTTAAAAAAATCAATAGATTATACTTTTGGGTCAACTGCAAAATTCTTTCTGAAACACTGTTGAAGATGAGTGAAGAATTCAATGTCCTCGCTCTCCAGAAGGCTCATCATCCGCTCAGCCATTGCAAAGATCTCTGTCCATGATGGGAATAAGTTTTGATGTAGGAAATGTAGGTACATAGCCAATTCATAGGGATGTTCAGCTAAAAATTAAAATATTGATTAGTTTCTAGAATAGTGAAAATATCTTTGTCAAAGCCCTGAGGATTCTTGATCAACTCCTAAGAAAAGTGATATAGGTCTACAGCAATTTTCTGTGATCTAATTTAGTTACCTGTAGGCATTATTTGCTTAAATGCCATTTGCAAAGGAAAAAGCCAATAGATTAGGTAGGGTTCATATGTGCCACTGAAAACATAGAGGACATTTAAGGTTTTGCTGGTCTCTGAAATCATTTGTTCATCTGTGGCAAAAGAATGCATGCAGGGTGTCTTTTCATATTTCTGTTGGGTGGAAGGAAAGAAACATGTTAAATATTTTTAATTAAAACAATGTTTTTAAGGAATAAAATAAATTAAGTAAATGCAATTTCATTTTGATATTTATTTCAGTCGGAATGTACAAGCTCTAACCATTAAAGAATTGGATTCAGCTGTATTGATATTAACTTTGTGTGATGTAAACCTAGGGTTTAAATACTAAAAAAAGTCACAGCTTTACAGCCCTCTTAACAGCTCTAGAAGAAGGAAGTTGTTCTTTGGAGAAAGCAATGGCTGAATACCAGATTGGAAGAAATCTTTACCATCACAAGAACATGGTAGATTAACTACAGAGGCTTTAGAAATGGTCTAATTCAGTGGTTTTCAACATTTTTTCATTTGCGGACCCCGAAAAAATTTCAAATGGCAGTGCAGAGCCCTTTGGAAATCTTAGACATAGTCTGCAGATCTCGAGAGATCTGCAGACCACAGGTTGAAAACCACTGGTCTCATTAAGTGCATGCACAGTGTCATCTGTTTGGGCTGTGCCTGAGCTGTCACCTAGTGAGGTGATAGTTTAACTTCCTGTTCATTGAATCACCGAATATTTCTTTTCACAATAAACCTTTGAAATAGTCATTCCTATTTTCTCTTCTTTCTTTATCCTCTTGCGCTCTCAGGTGCATAATAGGACGTCAGCCAGTTTCCGCCATTTATTTCAGTAATGTGCTGGGCTGTTCAGGCTTCTCAGTGTCATGCTGATGGATCTGGCTTCTTTTGATACTGTTAGGGATAAATGTTTCTCTAGGTTTCCCTCTTTTTCTCTTCCATATTATCACTTGTTGTGGAAATTGTGTTGGTGGCCTCCTTAAAGTATGTCCTAAATAAGTCCATCCTCATTTAATTTCCAGATTTGCTCTACTTGGAATTCTGATGTTGCAAGATACTCTTTTCAATGCAGTGATAAGTGTATTTTATAGATATATGTATATATCTATATCTAGATATATAGATATATCTCTTTGGAATGCCTTGATCTTATCAATGAATTTTGTTGTAGATTTCAATGACTCTGGTCCATAAAGGCAGACAGACATGATGGAAGTGTTAAAAATAGTTGTGTGTCAGTGCCAATCATGCAACTATTCCAAATCTTTTCAAGTTTATTGAAGTTGTTTGCTGCTTTTGATATTTGTTGCTTGACATCTAGCATAGTGTCATCATCGTTGCACATTTAACTCCATAGATTAGTAAAATTACTTTTCTTCCAGTGTTCCTTTGTCCACACTAATGGTAATTTCTGAGACACTGATAGCCATATTTCTCTTCCCCTTGTTGATGAACAAACCAACTTGTTTTGCTGTATTTGCCAAAAGCTAGATCTTTTCTTCCATTAAGTGAATTGTTGAAATAAGTAGGACAATGTAAATCAGCAAAAAAGAGGTAATCCAATTGTGTTTTATCATTTGTCCATAAAATTCCTTGGTTGCCTTCTGTGGTTACTTTCCTCATGACATAGTCAATGACCAGTGCAAACAATAGTGGGGACATAATACACCCTCACCTTAGTCCAGTTGTCACTGCATTGGCTGATACTGTCACCATCTCTGACTGCACATTCAGCATTATCATATAGATCCTTGATTAGTTTAATTATTTTTGCTGGTATTCTGTAGTGTGCCACAATTTCCAAGACTGTCTCTGTGTATGCTGTCAAAAGCCTTCTGCAAATCTATTAAATTTATCACAAGAGGTGCTTACCACTCTACACTTGTTCCATAATATGTCTAAGAACAACAATATGGCCTGCACATGATCTCAATGGTCTAAGACCTACTTGTTTCTCTCTAAGATGAAAGTCTATTTGTTTCTTGATATGTTACCGGATGTTATTGCACGTGGCTTTCCCAGGCACTGAGAATAATGTGATTTCTCTCCAGTTACTGCAGGTGGTACAGTCATCCTTCTTTGGCAATTTTACTATAAGGCCTCTCTTCCACTGGGTTGGGTTATTTTCTTTATTCCATATTCTATCAAAAAAACACAAGGAAAGTCTGGAGGGCTGTTTCATCACTTGCTTGGGGCATCTCTCCAGTAAAATGATCCCCTCCATTTTTTAGTTTACTGATGGCTTTTCTAACTTCTTCATTTGTAAGATCTCCTAAATCAATATCAAGCTCTAGTGGTAGGTCATCATCACACATTTCTAGTAGTTTGTTTGAGCATGGTCTATTTAGAACTGCCTGAAAATGTTCTGCCCATCTTTTCTGTTGTTCTTCTGTACTAAGAGTCTTTCCGTTTGCATCTTTAATAGGGCCTCTGGTACTTCTAAAGGTTCCTGTTAGCTATTTGATTGCCTTATACAAGGTTATAAGGTCACCTCTTTGGCTACCTCTTCAGCCTCTTGACATTTTCTATCAATATATGCCCTTTTATCCCTTCTAGTATTCCTTTTAACCTCTCTGTCTAGAGCGCTGTATTCTTCTTGCCACTTGCTTGCCTCTTCACATGACTTAGCATTCATGAGATTTTGCTTTACATTTTTTCTCTTTTCCATAGCTGTCCAAGTAGTATAGCTAATCTATTCTTTCTTTTTAGATTTCATTGTTATTAGAACTGTCTTTGAACTTTCTAGATAGTACTCTCTGATGTTTTCCCATAGAGTATCAATGTCTTGGGTTTCTTCACTTAACTCCATTAGAATACTGAAACTGTTCTTCAGTTCAAGCTGAAAAGCACTTTTTGTATTTGGTCTTTTAATTGTGCACTGCTGATGCACAGTTGTCTTTTAACCTTCTTCATCCTCTTTAATTTGATCTTCAATTTAGCAACACAAAGGTTATTGTCACTGTGCCCACATCTGCTCCCTTGCAAACATGTACATCTGCCAACAAACTGCGAAACATTCTTAAAATGTAGAAGTGATCTATCTGGCTCTTGTAGTAGCAGCTAGGGAGTTCTATGTCACTTAATGGATTTCTTTATGAGGATATATTGTTCCACCTATCACTAGTTTGTTCATGCTGCAAATTACTTTTAGAATAAAACTGATGTTCGGTTTTATTGTGAGTTATAGATCACTGAATTATTTAATGGCACTATAAACAGTATGCTTCTCTCTACTGTAAGAATCACTTTCAAGTGTGCAAAGAAGACAAAGTTTACTCCATCTTGTGGACTGGCTGAAATCATACTATGGTGTTCGTAATGATATTCCAGAATTCAGTAACCAACCAAAGGAGTCAACTAGGAGGACATTACCAAAATGATTACCAATTAAGGATAGGAGAAGAAAAACCCAGAAGTCACCTGATAAACATCAGCAATGAGTGGTGTAAGGATGGATGACTTATTTGGAAATATGCAACAGAATGGTAGTATTGCTATGACCAGATGAATATGGTTTTAATCACCATTCCATAGTGCAAATATTCATTATGAAGTGCTCTGGACAAAGAGTAAGAAAATATAGAATAAAAAATAAACAGTGTACCAGGTTTTACATTTTCTGACTAACCTCCACAACTGCATTTTCAATAAGGCCTGAAATTGGTGATCGGGTGGCACTTCTAATGTTCAGTTTAGCAATTCGGTGTGCCACTGTTCGTCCAAACTTCACTCTAGCTTCTCTCTCGAGAATTCTGAGAAGATGAAGCACTGATTAATTTCCCTGATTACGTATAATTTTCAAAAGCTTGTTATGAACTGAGATGAATTGACATAAAAATACCTGGTACCTAAATGTATCCAAAATACTCACTCTACACATCAGCATTCAGACACAATGCAGACTACTATATTTTGATGCGATAGTTCCAGAAATGCCCATTCATCATGCCAGTGAGCCATTCTAGAATATGCCCCTTTCACAGCCAATTCAAACTTTCTGGAAATGATGGAGGGTGGGGAGGAAACAATCATACACAAAGGGCCAGATCCTCAGTTGGCATAAACAGACATATCAAATTACAAGAGCTGAGGATCTGGCCCACAGCATGTATCTGCTCGGGCTCTGCTGGATGCACATAAGTCCCATTCAAGTCAATGAGAGATGCATGTGCATAACCAGGGACAAAATTCAGCCCTACATTTGGAAATCATGCAAGCATGTAATTACTAGACTTTTCCATGGGCCTCCAAAAAAAACCTCATCTTCAAAGATATCAGTACTTTATCAAATCAGAATCCACTTTTCTGTATTGATTCTTCACTGAACAACAGGGTCAAGTTCAAGGTCTATGAAATGATAGTCAAAGCCCTCCATGAGATTGGCCCTACCTTCCTGAGATAGCACCACTCCATCCATGATTATGACATCCATGATTATGACCACAACATCTGTGTTCTGCAGAACAATTAAACTGACAATCAACTGGGAGTGGCTCATGTACTCATGAGAGAGAACTTTGAGATGAGTTGGACCTATGAATTTTTTTCTGTCAAGGGATAAGAAGGATCACTGATCTCACAGCTTTTAGAACAGAAGCAAACTATTCAACTGTTTTCCCTCAGTAATTTATGCACACGCACGCACACACACACACACACACACACAAAACCCACAAACAAAAACATTTATAAAGTAATAAAATTATTTCCTCAGATGATGGGAAGGAAGAAACAGAGAAA